TCCTTAGCCACGAACAGCGCCACCGACCGGACACAGCCTCGTTGACAACGGGCCCCGCGGCATTCTGCCTTTGAGTGCAAGTTTTCATCATCTAATGAAGATGCAACGAGCAATGCATCATCCCCTCCTCCCTCCTCCTCTTCCTCCTCCCTCCCCGCCTCTCCTCCACTCCTCCTCATCCTCCTCCTCTCCTCCTCCCTCCTCCTCATCCTCCTCCTCCTACTCATCCTCCTCCTCCATTCTCTCTCCTCCTCCCCTCCTCCCTCCTCCCTCCCTCTCTCCCTCCTCCGCCTCCTCCTCCATCCAGACTCTGACTAGGAAGTGGTACCCATACCGCTGCTCGTCCTGTAGAGCCTGCGTCGCCACGGCTGGATGCTCCATGAAATTCTATGCAGAATGCTTCCCAGGAGAAGTCTGGAAAGTAGCGGTATCAGTACCTTGTGGTCATCCTCCTCCTTGCGGTTTTTCTCGTCCTTCCTCCCTCTACTATTGGGCAGCACATATTGACATAAACATGAATTTTTGAAGGTCAGCGCGGGTTTCTTGGATCGGCGCTGGCCCCCCCTGGCGGCGCCTCCCGCAGTGTCCGCGGCCGTGTCCGTACATATCTCCTGCTGCCCTCTGTCCCCGATGCCCAGATTTCCGTGTATGGTTGGCACGTCAAATAAGAAGCCGGCTTGTCAGCAGGTGTCCCACAGACGTTGCTCATTCCCCGATGGCCTTAGGGGGCCTACAGAAGCCCTACGGTACCTCAGAGAGTTCAATGTTCGACGGCAAACGTAACCCGAGATTTCTCAACTCAATATGTCTTACTGTATGTGTCTACTGCATCCACCGCCGTGGGAGCCGATGTCCCAGGACCCCAGGGTCTTGTCTGGCCTCAGGGTATACTGGTACATCGGTTCCCGAGGCGGTGTCCAGAAAGGGAGACGTTCCCCTCATTCTCACCTCTCTTCCCTTCCGAACCCCCTCGCGTCGAAAAGAAATCAGGTCGCATTGACCTTCCTGCTCGGCTTGATGTTGCCTTCATTATGTTCGCCAGTGAGGTTGGTAAACGAGTGAGTCTGTACTAGCGACTCGCGTGCTGGGCGCCTCGAAGACCTGACATGCACTGAACACGCTAGCTGAATTCAGTGCCACGAATACGAACTTGCACCGTTCAAAGAGCTGTCGCGCTACCAAGGCCATCAGTAGCTTCATTGCTTAACGAGTCGTTCGATCTCTTCATATCCTCCGCTGACCACGATCCGCAGCGAGGCCTCGTCGAGCACAACATCTTTCCTCACTCCCTCCTCCTGCTCCTCATCCGCGCCCCGTGCATTACCGATCAAGAAGCTCCGAGTGGCCGAGCCATTCAACCATGCAGACGAGGCCGGAGCCTCAGCGTCACTACTCATCTGAATCAAGCATAGAGTGGTTGCATGACTTGTCACCCTGGGTACGTGAACTCCTTCTGCTCTCCTCTTCGTCCTCCTCGCCGTTGCCCTTGTTTCTCGCCCTGACCCTCCACATTCTCCTCCCCCCCCCCCAGCACCCCCTAAAGCCCTCCCCCCACTCAGCACGCCTAGATCCTCCAGGACCCCACATGTTCTCTCTCCCTCGCTTTCTTAAGCTGCTTCTCCTGGGAGGCTGAATCTGTCCTTGGTCCTGGTACTCCTTTGGTGTTGACCGGGCCCAAATCCAGTCTCCCGCTTAGTTTGGGTTGATCCGGCTCCATCCGCCTCAATAGTTCGATAAGTCTGGCTTCGTGGCCCTTGATACCGTCGATCGCTTCTGACCCGTGTCCGCGGCGACCTCCCGGGAGCTGCCACCTTACCAGACCCCCCGCCCCCTTCCCCATCCATCGCGGCACGCCCGAGCCTGCCAGCCCAGCCCCGAGGGTGTTTGCGGTGGCGGCACCTCGTGGGGTGCCACGGGATGATTCTCTGAGCCATCGCCCTGGGCATCGCGCGGACGTGTCCTGTTTTTCTGGGCGAGGACCATCGAAGAGCATCCTGGATCATCGGGTACAGAAGCTGCACACGCACGACACCGACAGATGCACGGGGAAATGGTCCGTCCGAACGACGGCATGCAGCCTGTCCGTGGACGAGTCAGGCGACCAACCCTGCCCGCCCTCCTCATCCTGGAAGTCCCCTCCCCCTCGCCCATGGGAGCCCCCTGCCCCTCCACCTCCTCCCTGCCTGCGTGCTCTTCCTCGTCCCTCGCCCTCATCCAGCCCCCCCTGCTCCCCTCCTATCCTCCTCCTTTCCTCCTCCCCCTCCTCGTCCTCCTCCTCCTCCTCCTCCTCCTCCTCCTCCTCCTCCTCCTCCTCCTCCTCCTTGTAAGTACTTCGACATCATCGTCCCGCTGATCTTAGTCGGTGTGCTTCCACCCTCCTCAACCTCTTTCTTCCCGCTCTTACCCTCTTTTTTCTAGTCCGGTCCTCGTCAGTATTCCCTCTCGCCCCCCTGCTCCAAATTCTTGACGATGTAGATACTGGCTATCGGCTGGCTGCCAGCCTGCGAACGCACGCCGTGGTGCGGCAGTGGAGTGGTGCCAGCCCTCCCACGGTGACACTGGCGCACAGCGGCAGGCAGCGCCACCCCCCACCTGCGTATCGCCTTGATTCTACGTTGACCCGATCGTGGCGCTACTACAAGGACGTCTTCTCGGGCTCCATGACAGGTGGAGATAGGGTGTGTTCGTTAGCCACACTTCCGGTGTTACCTGAGGTCTGGCTTCACCAGGGAGTGGCCCTGCCCGAAAGGTTCATCCTTCTGCAGTTCGTGGCCGTTCCCCTAGCAGATCAGTCTGCATCAGCCTCTGTCAGTACTTGCATCGTTGTGCCCCCGAACCGCGAGAGTCGGATACGTTGTGTATGCACTGGCTACAGGCTGGAGGTGGCGCCACCTCGTGTGCGCTGACCGGGGTCGCCCCCTTTTCATGTGCAAGGACGGGCTTCAGCCGCACCCCTGCGTCAGTGAGCCATGGTGAGTGAGGCCCTTCTCTGCTTGCCGCCCTCTCTTTTTCTTGGTGATGCTGTGTGCCCCGGCTGACGTCCGCACCGGCACCCTACTCCCCTTCCCGGCCTCGCTTCCGTGTGTCGTTCGGCCGGAGACAGGCGCCGCCAGGGCGACTTCTCCCCGCTGTTCCAGTACCGTTCCAGTGCCGGTCGCCGCGCTCGTCCCCACCCGTCGGGATGCCTGGCTCGATCACTTGGTCACGCTGTACCGCCAATGCCGCCGCTCGCTTCGGCGCCGGACTTCGGCGTTTAATTTGGGTCATTTTGTCCTTTGCATGTGCATGCGCCTCTTCGGCCAATTATCTTCGTTTCGCGCCCCGTTCGATGCCCCGCTTCTTGACCTTCGCCAGGGAGCCGCCAACAAAAAATCCCCACCAGCGAACCGGCTTGCCAACGTGGCGGTTGTGTTCGCAAATTCGCATCGTGCCGCCTGCCTTCGTAGGTGGCAGAGCCTGCCGCTGGTTGCCCGGCGTCCGACTCGCATCGTGTGCCTGCGTACCAAAAAGTATCCCTGCCAGACATGATCGGAGGCTTTCCTGTGGTGGCTGCTATCGTGAACAATGTTCGGCTGGAGTCTGTCGGGGGCTATCTTGAGCCATGCTCAGCTATCTTGGACCGTCTTGTGGCTGCCTTGACGGCTCTTGGTTCCTTAGAGGCTCCCTAGAGGCTCCTTAGAGGTTTCCTTGGAGGCTCCTTAGAGGTTTCCTTAGAGGCTCGTCATGGGTTTGCTTAGAGGCTCTTTAGAGGCTCCTTGGAAGCCTCCTTAGAGGCTCCTCAGAGGCTTACTTAGAGGCTTCTTAGAAGCTCCTCAGAGGCTCCTTAGAGAAGCTCCTTAGAGGCTCCTTAGAGGTTTCCTTGGAGGGTCCTTAGAGGTTTCCTTCGAGGTTTCCTTTGGGGTTCCTCAGAGGTTCCTTGGAGGCTCCTGTTCACGCTCCACTGTTCAATGCGAGCGCTGGCTCTTTTGGCTCCGAGGCGGCTCTCTGGGTCGTGGAGGAGAGGGCCGTCGTCCCTCCCCTCCCCTCCCCGCTCGTCCGCCCTCCTTCCTCCCCCCCGCTCGCCCCCTCGCGCCCCTCCGTGGCAGCCGGTGCGCGAGGCGTGGTCCCCGTCCTCCCCCCCCCGAGCGGTGCCAGCCCTCCCGTACATGGACATTATATTCGAACCCTGTGGCCCAAGATGCCCCCCCGACCCCCCGAAATTAATATTGATGGCGTGGCGACGGGGGGGAGCGTGAGTGGACAGAAGTATTCGAACCTCAAGGCACCGCCTCTGCTGAGATCAGCATCGATGTCGGGGGCGCGGGGGTGATTTAGAATTTCCCTCGAATGTGTGAGGGTTCGAGTATATTGTCCATCTACTGTCCCCTCCTCCTCCCTCGAGTGCCCTCCCCGCTCGTCCGCCCCCTTTCCTCCCCCCCGCTCGCCCCATCGCGCCCCTCCGTGGCAGCCGGTGCGCGAAGGCGTGGTCCCCGTTCCCCCCCCGAGCGGTTGCCAGCCCTCCCCTCCTCTCCCTCGAGTGCCCCTCCCCCCTCCCTGCTCCTCCTCCTCCTCCTCCTCCTCCTCCTCCTCCTCCTCCTCCTCCTCCTCCTCCTCCTCCTCCTCTCCCTCGAGTGCCCTCCCCCCCCCCCAGGGGGGCCCCCGCGCGTGCCCTCGGCGGAGAGGCCGACGGCGCGGCGGCCGCCGAGCGCCCCTACCGGGGCGTCGCGAAGCTCTCCTACAGCTGGATGGGCGAGGACGCCGAGGAGGAGGAGGAGGAGGAGGAGGAGGAGGAGGAGGAGGAGGAGGACGAGGAGGAGGGAGGAGGAGGAGGAGAGGGAGGAGGAGAGGGAGGAGGATGAGGAGGAGGAGGAAGATGAGGAGGAGGAGGAGGAGTTTTTGCAAAGAACGGCAGCCAGGCGCGCACCCAATTCGCGAGAGCAAAAAGGCCGAGCGACAGGCTGGCAGTTGAAAAAACACGCGCGAGCTAAACGCCCGCCGTGGGCCACTCGCGGACCCCAGGCCTAGGAGGGAGGCCCTTGCGCAGCCGCAGCAGGGCGGTGAGCTGCGCCTTAGTCAGCGCGAGCGGTCCGTGCCGCGTGGCCTCGCACTCCTCCAAAAGCCGAGCGGGCCTGGAGTCGGCGTAGCGCCCACAAAGGCTGCAAAAAGAGAGGGCGCCTTTGCGCCACAACAGGTGCGAGCCGTGCGGCACATGCCCAGCAATGCCCGAGCCAGGCGGCAAGCGCACTGGGGGATCAGGCATCCCCAATGCGCGAAAAAGCTGCTCGTCGATAGGCGGCAACCCCGAGTACGAGCGCGGCAGCCTGACGCAGACCCGAAGCGCGGGAGCGGCGTCCGCCGCTGGCTCGTCCTCAGGCTCGATAGGCCCCACACCGGCCCCCCCCCCGTCCTCGTCGGCCCCGTCCCCTTCCCTCTGATGGCCTCGCTGCTGCTGCTCCACGCAGCAGGGAGGCGGGCTAGGCGGCGGCCATACGGCCGAGCAGGAGGAGCGCAGCAAGTGGAGGGCGCGGCTCTGGCAGCGCCTGACCGGTCGGCCACAACGCTTGCAGCGCCAGCCGAACGCGGTCGAGGCAAAGGCATGCTGAGAGCTGGCCGCGAAGCCCGAAAGCAGCTCCTCCCTCCTCAGAGCCCTGGAGACCTTGGGTTTCGTAACCACACGGCCAGGGCTCTTGGGGGCGGAGGCGGCGGCAGCACAGAGAGAGGCATTGCGGAGCAGGATGGCCTCGGCCTGCTCCACAAGATCCAAAGCGCGGCGGGCAACGTCAGGATCAAGCTGGGCCTCCTCAGCCCGCTCCTCGGCGAGCCCATCGGCCACTGCGTTGAGAAAAATAGCCTCGGGCGGCACAGAATGGCCGAGGCGAGCTAGCTTAGCGGAGTCCTCGGCAAGATGCGAGGGCACATGCAGGAGCGAGAAGCGGCCATCGCGGGCGTCTAGCAGCGAGAAGAGATCGTGCCAGAGGTCCGCGTGCTCGAGCTTGTAGCAGTGGCGGCGTCCGCGCGCGATCGCCTTCACGTGATTCACGTGGTCGGAGTAGAGCTTGAAATCGGCAGCAGGGTGGACGGCCCTGACGCACTCAACAATGGCCAGGAGCTCGGCGCGAGGCACCGTTTGCACAGGACCGTCCACCACGCCCGTACAGCCTGAGTCCCAGTCGAGACCTTGGCCGTCGTCTAGGCGTGCGAAGCTCCACGCCACGCGGCGTAGCAAGGGCTGAGACGACCAGGCACCGCCTGCGCCGTCGGTAGCGTAAATCCCCCCTGGCAGCGCCCCTTCACCGCAGCGCAGCCACCGATGGCCTCGCTCGTCGGGGGGCGGCGGGAGGTTCAGCCAGGCGAGGGGCACAAGCCCGCGGCACCAGAAAACAGGGAAGCGGTCGATCTCCTCCGACGCCTGACTGCGGAGGTGGTTGGAGGAGACCACGGCCTCAGGAGGAGGAGGCACACCTACCGAGCGCGCCCAGTCCCTCTCCATGGAGTTGCACATGCATTCCCAGAAACGGTGGCGGCTAGATTCTCGGGAGCGGTGGCAGCGCTGGCACAGGTCGTCCGTGCGGTAGCCAGCCTGGAAACGGCGCTCCTCCGTCCAGTAGCCACCACAAGCAACTAGGCGGACGAGGCTGGCGAGACTGTGCTGGGACTCCTTCTCCAGCCGCTCAGCCAGGGCAGGCACATGCTGCCACCAGACACCCTCCTCCGCCCCACCCCCATCAAGATGCTTGGCCGCCTGGCGCCAGACCGCGTTCTCAGCGGTCTGCTCAAAGGCCGCGAGGAGGCTGGTGACGGGGGCGACGGTGGAGGAGGAGGAGGAGGAGGAGGAGGAGGAGGAGGTAGGAGGAGGAGGAGGAGGAGGAGGAGTGAGGGAGGACGAGGAGGAGGAGGAGGAGGAGGGAGGAGGAGGAGGGGAGGAGGAGGAGGAGGAGGAGGGAAAGAGGAGGAGGAGGAGGAGGAGGGGAGGAGGGAGGAGGATGGAGGAGGAGGAGGAGGAGGCAGGAGGAGGAGGGGGGGGGAGGGGAGGAGGAGGAGGAGGAGGAGGAGGAGGAGGAGGAGGAGGAGAGGAGGAGGAGGAGGAGGAGGAGGAGGGAGGAGGAGAGGGGGGACGTTGTCGCGCGGGGCAGCGCAGGCGTTGCCTCGGGCTGTCCGGGCGGGTGGTCGGCTGCAGATCAGCCTCGCCCCAGAGTTCTGCTCGTCCTCCTCCTCCTCCTCCTTCTCCTCCTCCTCCTCCTCCCTCTCCCTCCTCCTCCTCCTCACTCCTCCTCCTCCTCCCCATCCTCCTCCTCATCCTCCTCCTCCTCCTCCTCCTCCTCCTCCTCCTCCTCCTCCATCTCCCCCTTCTCCTCGCCGGAACGGTCCGGATCCCAACCGGTCCGATTTCGGCCCCAAAGCGCTTGAAGCCCCTGAAGCGCGCTACAGGCGCCTCATGGGCGCTTGATAGGCTCTTCCGTGAAGGCGCCTCGTCGGTTCCGTGGAGAATTCCCACGGTGTCCTCGGAGACTTATTGAGCGATTCCTGAGAATACTTGAGGATTCTTGACATCCCTGAGGATTCCTCGGGGACTCTTGAGTGAGATTTGGCTTGCGCAACGGTCTGGGCTTCCTTTCCGGCGCTCGCCAGCTCGCGGTTTCTCAACGGTGACGTGACTCGTCACGGCGGCGGATCTTGGCCAGGATGAGCAAGAGGAAGAGGACGAGGAAGAGGAAGAGGAGGAGGAAGAGGAAGAGGAAGAGGAAGAGGGGGGAGGAGGAGGGAGGACGGGGAGGAGCTGCGTAGAGTCTGCGGGGGACCTCTGTCCCGACTCTTGCGGCACCCTTCGGCCTCTGGGTGGCCCCGGATGGCTTCAGAGCTGCTTCGGACAGCCTCGGGATGGCTTCAAGCGGGCTCGGGTAGCCATGCATCACCACCCACCAAACCACCCCAACCCAACCCGAAGGCCTCGATTTGCCCTCCATTTCCAGTGGGGGGGGGGGTCGGGGAACATCGAGAAAACACATATGGAACCCGTACTCCCCACAACCCGAAATTCGGGTCTTCGGGTTGGGTTGGGGTGGTCTGGTAGGTAGTCAATGCAGTGGCCCCGGACAGTCTCGGGCTGCGTCGGATCTGGCGCGGACGGCCGGGCAGTGGGGGCGGCCGGGGCTGCAGACGGGGCCCCCCCCGGTAGGACCCGCCGCCCGTGCGCTTACAACCGAATGTTTTTCCCTTGATTTTAAACAACGACCATCAAATCGAAATGCCCACCGTCAAAATCAACTTGCAGTCCTTTTCGCGTACCGAAGGAGGCCCTGCGCAGCGGGCTCCCCTCGCACCGGTGTGGTGCCCGCCCCAGGCCAGGCCCAGACCTCCAGGGTGCTGCGTCGTGCCCTCTCGCGGCAGCCCGCGGCCCTCTCGGCCCTCTGGGCGGGCCGTCGGCCCCCCCCCCCCGAGCTCGGGAGGCTGGGGGGAGCGGCTCCCCGGCGCCGGAGGCAGCGGGGGCCTCCCGCTCGAGTGGCTCCGAGCCGCCGGAGGTCCTTGTGGGGCCCCCCGTCGACCTGGACGCAAGAGTGACCCTGTTCGCCAGAGGGACCTCTGGTGCGGGCACACTGGGGCCCCCCGATCGCCGAGCGCGATGCGACAGCAGCGCCCTGTGAGCCTGTGCTCGGCCACGCCGCGGCCCCCAGGAGGAGTGGTCGTTTATACCGACGCGCAGGCGCTCAGAACTCGTCTTTGATGGCCTTCGTTGAGCCTCCTCCACGTCCACATCCCCCTCTTCCTCTTCATTCAATAATCATTCCTCCAGTGTTTTGGCACATGCCCGCTGGCTGTGAACGTGGGTTTTCGCCCGTTTCCCCATACGTGCACAGGCGGACGGCGGACACTGATAATGAGTTTCTTAATAAGCGTTGGGGGGTACCCCCCCGACGTGGGTCAACCTCGCCTCGTCGTCGCGCCGCGACGGGGGTTGGAGCGCCTTGGGCGCGCGGTGGCTGCCCGCGACGGGGGTCGATGTGGGGCTGTCGGCGGGGGTGGCGCCCCCCCGACGCTGATTAAGAAGCCCAGAGTACAATCACCTCGAGGATCATCCCGCAGGACTCTGGCGCTGCCCCTCCCCCAGTCCCCCGAAAGCGTTCTGAAGGGTCTTGGCGACAGTCTTGGTCGATTTCGCCCTCCTCCTCCTCCTCCTCCTCCTCCTCCTCCTCCTCCTCTTCGCCCCCTTCTCCTCTTTCTTCTCCTCGTCTTCCTCCTCCTCCTCCTCCTCCTCATTCTCTTCGCCCTCATCCTCCTCCTCCTCCTCCTCCTCCTCCTCCTCCTCCTCCTCCTCCTCCTCCTCCTCCTCCTCCTCCTCCCACCGCAGTGGCCCCGCCCCGATCGAGGATCCAGGTGCGGGAGGTCAGTGGGCGCACGCACCGATCGGATCCGTGGACCAAGGGTCTCTGGCCCCCCGATCAGATCGGCGTCGGCGCGCCGTCGGCGCGCGCCCTCCAGGACGTGAGGCCTTTCACTGGGCCCGACGAGCTCACAAAGGTCTTTGGGGGGGTGTCGTTGCGGAGGCCGTCGTGGAGGTCGTCGCTGAGCTTGCCGTGGAGGTCGTGGAGATCGCCGCAGCAGGGGGGTCGCAGTGGGAGGTCGTCGTGGAGATCGTCGTCGTCGTGGAGGCCGTCGTCGCAGCAGAGGGGGCGAGCAGGCGCTGCCGCGGACCGTTGCGCCGTCAGCTCGCCGGCCGCCGAAACTATCGGTGAGTGCTGGCTGGAATCCGTCCCGACGCGCTTGGCATCGCTCGGACGTGTGCATATTTCCTTCGGCGAGGACCATCGAGGAGCATCCTTGATCATTTGGCGAAAAAACCACGCACGAAATCGAAGAAAGCACAGGGAATGGACGTCCGAGCGATGGCCAGCGCGGCGGCGAGGCCCATGGCGGGCGTGCACGATTTGCACGCCCTCCCCATGGGGCCGGTGTTCGGGCCCGTCAGGGCCCCCACGGCCATTCGAGAGGTGGCGTCGGGGGCCTCGGGGACGTCCGAGGGCGGATACCGTTCGTGGGCGTTTCGCTCGGTGTCCGGAACAAGAATCGGGCCGGGCGAAGGGGGGGGATTGGGAAAGGGGGGGGGGGTACGGAATTTGCTGCATGCAGCTGGTTTCGGCCCCACCGAGGGGCCCATTCCTCGATACATGGCCGCCTCCGGCGCCGGGACGCGCCGGGAACATCAGCTATGTGAGCTGATTCTCACCCCTCTCTTTGCTATCCCCGCCTTTCGCCCGACCTGAAAGAACCGACGTCGTCACGGCATGAGTCTTCCAATGGGGCAGTGCCGCCAGGTTCTCGTTGGCCTCGTTCGGGCTGCCTGGCAGATGCCACAGGGCAAGTTCAGCAGGTGCATCCCAGCGCAGAGGCACTGCAAGTTCGGCATCACACCGCTCGTCCACACTGGTGATCGGTATGCGGTATGGGTTAGCACAGTGCTGAGGAAGAGGGGGAGGACGATCAGATGCCACAGGGCAAGTTCAGCAGGTGCATCCCAGCGCAGAGGCACTGCAAGTTCGGCATCACACCGCTCGTCCACACTGGTGATCGGTATGCGGTATGGGTTAGCACAGTGCTGAGGAAGAGGGGGAGGACGATTCGCAGTGAAAGGTCCTCCGTCTTCATTTTGACGGTGCGTCTCCAACTGCGGCCTGCCTCGTACAGGAGCCATAGTCATTATTACTCTTGCCACGCTCTCTCGCATCAATGATTGCACCAGCTTCGCGTTTGTCATTGTGTCCAACACACAAGTCATCCATCGTTCCTCACAGTGCTGAGTGATCTCGTCGCTTGTTGGTGTTGTATGTTCGTTTGGATGGTGAAGAGGGAAGTCGATGCGAATTGTCAGCCGCCGTGCGTTGTGGGGGGTGTCGCCATATTGTCCTTTACCTCTTGGCAGCTGGGCTGAGTTTGGCGTGACCGAGATACATACCCCGACATCCGGCGCCATGATCTGGCGCAGCCATCGGACACTTGGAGCCTCCCGCAAATGTCCGACGGCGCCGCAGTGGAGAGCCGGGAGGAGAGATCGCTTAGCTGCCTTCCTGAACGACTGTGAGAGTCTCGCATAAGGCAAGAAACAGGGAGTTGCGGCAGTTGAGGTGGAGGAGGGAGAGAGCGCAGCAAGATGAAAGGAGGAAGGCTGTACGAAGGGGGAGGAGGAGGGGGAGAAGCATCAGTATCTATAGGGGAACCTTATCAAAGTGAAGTTTTTAACTGGTCTGCAGGAGCGCTCGCGCTCAAACGAAACCTCTGTTCTGGAACGCACCCGCGTCTTCAGCACGGGCTGCTGTCGCGCCTTCGCGCGATCAGACTTTGGTGTGCTGGAGCGCACGCTGTGGGCTGCTGGAGCGCTTTCGCTTGAGACAAAGTGTTTACGTGTTGGTGCGAGCCCCTGTTCTCCGCATCTGCTGGAGGGCCCTCGCTGGGTAAAGACAGACATTGGAGCGACACCCTCACTTTGGAGCTTCAAGCGCGCAGTCCCTTCTCTAAATTTTTGCCATGTGTGGTGGGGGGGATGGGGACCTCCCAAAACATGGGACCCCCCTCTCCTCTCTCGACCTGTCGACACCATCTGCTTCGAGCTAGTCGCGAGCGCCCTGCAGGTGCGCGTTGTGGTCGCCCCTTTTGAGAACAGCCTTGGCCTCCCACGGCTGCCAGTTACTGCCGCCGCCATGTCCTTGCCTCTGCCCTCCCGTCAAGGCCCTCCTCGGCAGTCAGCCGCCCAGCACATCGGTGAGCTCCTGGATCCCCGCGAACACAAAAAGGCCGAATTGGCGGGATCCGAACGCTTCTATTCGTGCCGAACGAGGGGCAAAGAAGGGTTTTAAACTCCGCTCGACGACAGCGGTTCACTGAATGCCCCCATATCGGTCGAGCTGGGATTCGGTCGGATCCGCCGCTGCCCTTTCTTCGCTGCTTCGGAGTGCGCTGGCCGCCCCTGCGGACGGCCCCCCTCGGGCCCCTCTCCGGGGCTCCTGGGAGCCCCCGCTGGACCTCGTAGGCCCCGCGAGGGCCCGGAGGGGGCCCCAGACACCCACCAGACGGCCGGCTATGACCCAAAGGAGACCTTCAAGAGGCTTGCGGAGCGCAGAAAATCACCACCCACCAAACCACCCCAACCCAACTCGAAGGCCCCGATTCGCCCTCGCCCACATATGAAATCGGGTGCCACCCCCACCCGAAATTCGGGTCTTCGGGTTAGGTTGGGGTGGTTTTTAGTTCGTCAGGAAAACATGCATTTCCATTGATTTTTGCATGATTTTGGGAATGCTCTGTTCAGGAGCGCCGAACTTCGCCCCAGAACTACCCCAAAAGGGCTCCCAGGCAGTCCAAGGGAGCCCCAAGACGGCCCAGCAGGGTCCCAAGATGTCCCGAAGAGAGCCCGAAACCGCCCAAGATGGCCCTAAGACGCCCCCCGGAGCATTCCAAATCGTGTCAGGGTCGTTCATGGAGACTGCGGTTGGAAGCAGGGTGGCCCGAGGAAGCCCCAGAGACCGCCAGAAGGTGCCCAGGATGCCTCCTGAGGGTCCAACGAAGCCCTTTGAAAGTTTAGTGAGGCCACCGAGAGGCTCTCCCAGGAGGAGCCTCCACAAAAAAGCTCAGGCGGATGAAGAAGAATTCGCGGGGTAGGGCGAGAACGAGGAAGAGGAAGAAGTCGCCACTTCCTCTCGAACGAGGAAGATCTGGGCGACCACAGCGGCCCCCAACGGGCCTGTGATTTCGTCGGGGCCGCGAGGCGCCTGCTGCCGCGGATGGGAGGCGCTGACCCTGCGCCGGCCCCCTGAGGCCTCCGAGTGCCATGGCCCCCGCGCAGCTGGCGGCGGCGCGCGCGGCCGCCGCATTCTGGATGCTCACGCTGGGCCTCTACAACCCGCAGAGCTTGCCCGCCTGGCGGGAGGAGCTGGTGAGCGAGGCGCTGCAGAATTTCGACGTGGTGGTGCTGCCAGGCACGCAGCAGCGCCAGAGGGACGACGCGATCCCCGTCACGGCCATCCGCACGATGAGGCATGTGGCCTACGGATGGGGCTGGCGTCGAGGAAGGTTCACGAACAAGAGCTGCGGCATCACGATCATGATTGGGAGGAGAGTTCGTCGCAACCACGTTCGCCAGGTACTCAGCCCTCCGCCGAAGCTGGGCATCACTGGAAGGGCGGGAGGGATCAAGCTGGCAACGGCGCGGACTCCGATGCTCGTCTTCGGAGTTTATCTCACGCCCTCTGGGACCCAGGAGGAGCGCACGGAGTCCATGCAGCGCATCCTAGGCTGGATCACAGACGAGGTGGCGAAGGCAGGCAACAGGTACCTGGTGGTGATCGCTGGGGATTTCAACGAGCAGCTGGGTTTCAGCGACATAGACGAGGTGGCTGGACGGCACGGACGACATCGGCGATCAAGACAAGTAGAACAATTACGATGGTGGGCGGCCACTAACTACCTTACCGCGGCCAACACGCACTTTCGCTTGCCCGCCAGCTACTACGGGTCAGAGACGAACAGCTGGATTGATCATGTGTTCGTCCCGTCCACGGCTATGGGATTCGTGCCAATGATCAGGATGCGCCCCGACCTGATGCGCACGCTCTCACCGTTCCCTACAGCTGAGCTTCGCGACCACTGCCCAATGGAGGTCCACATCACTTACGAGCTGAGCTACTCGCCGCTGCGGAGCGCCACGGAGAGAGTGGATCGGGACTCCCTCATGAGGTGCTTGACCAAGGGCGAGCGGAGGCGTGAGTTCTGCGAGAAGGTCGAGTCCAACCTGAGCGCAGTTGAGGCCGAGTGGAACCTCTCCGACTCCGACCCCACGCCAGAGACCAAGCACCAGCTATTCACGAAGGCGATCCGCGACGCCACTCTCTCGGTCTTCCCGTCCACGAGGAGGCTGGGCACGGAGTACGAGCATCTGGTGGAAGAGAGGGTTCAGGCTCTGCGGGCTCGGGCTCAGGTGGCACACGAACTAGCAGAGCTGCAAGCTGGCCTCAGCAACGCAGACCACAACCACGACTTCGAGCGCAACGTGATGGTTGCAGAGGCGCGGCTACGGCGTCTCACAGGCGAATGCAAGGCACGTCGCAAGGCTCATCAGGAATACACTTTCTACGAGCGGATCGAGGAGCTGAGGGGGGCCTGGAGGATTCGCGATTTTTCCAGAGTTTATGCACTCAGGGGGCGGCTCGCTGGCAGAGGGAAAGGCATTCGCAAACGTACATACATTGCTGCCAACTGCACATTGGGCGCTGAAGAATGGAAGGAGGGGATGGCGAAGGAGGGGGTCGCTGGCGGCATGCGCGCGCTGACGACCACCTGGGGCCAGCAACTGACGAAGGCCAACATTAGGGGCGAGTACCTGCGCGACAACGGAATGTGGAGAGATGGTGTACATGACAACTCCCTACATGATGAAGTTCGGGATGATCTGAAGGCGATCAAAAAATACTGCCGTCGGGCGCCGAGGAGGAAAGCATTCCCCGAGTGGGGCGTCTGCACTGAGATGCTCGCCATATGCCTGGCGCCCATGGAGCGGATCGACAGCACTGGCAGGGGACTCGGCTACGTGGACGATGCACCCATGCAGATGACGAAGTTCGAGCAGTGCCTATGGGACCTGCTACAAGACACGCGCATCAAGAAGACCTTCGCTCCATCGGGCAAGCGCACTCGCGCCATCGGGCTCGACAAGAACAAAGGGCGGGCCGACCTGAAGGGGCAGCGCGTGATCCACTTGTATGACCATCTCTCGCAGGCGTGGCACAGCGGCCTCCGACGACGGCAACTACCTGGAGACTGGCCAGAGTGGGCGCACGGCAGCTTACCCCATCGCAGCAGGGAATCAGCCCTGCTGGCGCTGCAGTCGGCATGCTGGCGGCTCAGGGATGCCAACTTCTCGGTTGCGCAGCAAAACTGGGATGCGGCTGGGGCCTTCAACGCCATCTGCTGGGAGCACTGGCTCACGCACGCAGGTGACAGACTGCAGGCCGTGGACAGGCCCTTCTTCGCACAACTCCTTTCCGACCTATGCGTCACCGTATCGGCCCCTGATGGCGAACTCGAGTTCACCCCGCAGGAGGGAGGCGCCATGGGCAGCAGCTTGATCCCGTGGGGCTTCGTGGCCACCTACTCGGTCGCGGTCAGCAACGCCTTTGACGGGCTGAAGGAACAGGACGAGAGCTTCAACTGGCTCGATACGATGATCCCCGACAGGGACGACGAGACCTTCGACGTCGGGGCTGCGGTGTTCGTGGACGACGTGACGCGCATCACCCCGATCCCCAAGCACGCCACTGGGAACGACATCGTCCGCAGGCTCAACCGCACTACCAGGACGATCAACACGGAGATTGGCAAGCAGGGCGGAGGACTTAACGAGGACAAGACTGTCAGCACGCTCGATCTACGGGGCCATGGTTCGAATACGGCGACGAGAAAAGTAGCAACGTCTCGGCAACTGAAGGGGACGGTGGCTAAGTGCGCCAGGTTGCTTGGACCGATTGTGGCGGCGGACCTGTCCGTGCATGAGGAGATCAAGGCCAGGGTGATGGCGGCGAAGCGGGGCTGGTACAACATGGGCTCGACTTGGTACCACGAGATCCAGAAGAGGTGTGCCCGCTTGCAGTTCATTAGCTACGTATACGAGACCGCCCTCTCGGCGTTGCACGTGCTCCTCGTCACTCAGAGCCAGATTGATCGGATCACCACAGTCCTCACAAAGCTCCTGCGGTCGTTGATGGGAGGGCGTTTTACCAAGTGGAGGGACGACGGCTCAGCGCGCACCATCACGAACGCCAAGGTGTGGGACTACTGGGAGCTGGCCAAGCCAGAGATCGAGCTGAGAGTGAGGAGGCTGCGGTTCTACCAGCGCATGGCGAAGTACCCCAAGGCCCACGAGCAGGTGATCGCGGCGGTCTTCGGGCAGTGCAAGTTCGAGGAGGAGATGGGGATCTGCAGGCTGGGAGAGGACGGATGGCCTATCTCAACCTCTACGCCGTGGTGCCTACAACTGGAGAAGGATTTGAGGGAGATGGGCAAGGTGAGTGGGGACTGCCACGACATGTGGGAGGACGCTGCTGTCGGCTCCTGGAGGGCTGATGGACCTGTTCTACGAGGGCGACGTGCACGACCAGTTCATTAGGCTGGACCTGCGTGCTATGCGCGCGGCATCCTTCGCCGTGCAGATACCCCCACCTGGCTTCGCAAGCGTGGGGGTGGATGGGGCAGAGCCCGCTCAAGACGAGTGGATCGCGCCCCCACCCGCTGAATTTGGTTGCAACGAGACGGTTGATGGCACGATGTGTGGCAAAACATTCCACTCCTTTGCTGCTCTTCAGACTCATCGTCGCATCGTCCACGGGGTGCAGCACGAACTTCGACGGTTAGTGGTTACGAATCAATGCCCCTGGTGCTTGAGTTGTTTTCCTTCGAGGGAGGGGGCGATGCAGCACGTATCTCGAGTATCAGGGGGATGGGTATCGCGAGGAGCGAGGCGAGTACGGCGAATGTGCATGGTCGACCACTCTCCCTGGCATCACGAGCCGATCGAGCCCCATAGCCTCCAATGCCCCGCCTGTGAGCGCTCCTTTGTCCATTTGCTCGAGCTTCAAGTACATATTCGGTCGCATCATGAGGGCCCCACTGGCCTTTCTCTTGCAGTGGACAGCGATGAGAGCAGCTGGAAGCACCGCAGGCGGCGCACCGCCCGCCAAGCCGATTCGGTTCCTGTCAGGAGGGATTCAGAAGGGCACGGTGACGAGGAGGGAGCGCTCGGCGACCATGGAAGCAGTGAGCGAGGCGGCCGCCCCAGACCTGAAGACGGCGAAGCAGGCGAGGGAGGACGACGAGGAGAGGAAGGCACCAGAGGCGGCCAAACCAGAGGGGGCGACACCCACGGGCAAGGCGAAGGCGGGCAGCAAGAAGAAGAAGAAGCTCGCGACCGATGGTGGCACGAGGCCTGCCGCCGCCAGCTCCAGCGGGGTCTCCGACGGGATGGTCGTCAGGCTGCAGAAGGGGGTGCTGAACACGATGCAGGGGCAGCGCGGCCTGGAGGGAGCGGTGTACGACTTCCGCCTGGTGCCAGTGAACAGCGTCACCGTGGAGGCGGCGGAGGCGAGCGGCAAGGAGGACAACGAGGCGGTGGAGTCCAAGGCTTACACCCCACAGGAGCTCGGCAGCCCGCACGTCCAGATCGCGAAGAGCGTGATCAACAAGCTGGCCGTCGCAGACATGGGCAACGGGCAGCAGGTCAGGCTGGCGCAGTGCGTGATGTCCCTCATGAACACGGCGCTGGAGGAGACCCCAGCGCTTACGGGCGAGGTCTTCAAGGGATTCCGACTCAAGCGGGCGAGGTTCGACGAGCAGGTGCAGGCTACGGGGTGCAGCAAGATGACGATGGCCATCAACCCGCACGTGCAGCTGCCGCTGGAGAATCCCAAGTGGCTGAGCAAGCACGGCGTGGGGAAGAAGAAGGCGAACGAGGAGGAGATCATGGAGAGCGACGCGGAGGGACCGCGATGCCTCTCCGACATGCCGCTGATGCCGATCTTCGTCAGGGACGTGCGGACAGCGTTCCTCACCATGCTGGAGGCCGAGGGCGCGGTGCGGTCCGACGGCCAGCCCCCAAGGTCCAGGCTCGAGCGAGATCTGCAGAAGGATCTGGGCCAGATGCTGAAGTTGAGCTGACGGCCCTGAGGCAGCAGATGGCCAGTGTGGCCGCGATGGTCGCGGCGACTGGCAGCGAGCGAGGAAGAGAGCTTCTGAGGGCCCTAGAGAGCAGGGTTGCCCGGCTGGGGTCGCTCCGAAGGAGAGCCCACAGTCGGACGTGACGCGCTGCGGGTCCCCATCACCCCCAGGCCGTTTGGCGGGTTCTGGCCCTGGTGGCTCCGTCCAACAGCTAGGGGGTGGGTGGGACCCGCGGTGCTTTGGTGCAGTCAGCGTCGGTCGCTAGTCGCGGGCCCCCCTGGCTGCATCGGACCCCGTCGCCGCATAAGCGGAGCGGGGCGCCGCCAGGCCCCCGCGGCCGCGCGCCGACCCCGTTCCCGACGTCACAGGGGCACATAACGGTTTTGAGTTTTTCGGCCTGGAACTCGGAATTCGGTGTCTAGAGCCCTGAGACTGGTTTTGTTGCCCCCGATGTGTGTTTAGTTTTAGTTTAG